CTGCTGAAATTAACTTCAGATGCAAAGGAGGTTGGGAGCAACTGTGTGTCTGTTACTTTGAATCTCAATAATTCACTTTCACATTTGTTTTTCTGGCCTTGTCACCTGATCTCTAAAGGCATTTTAGCCTTATGTATTTTATTTTTTAAAATAAATTATGGGACAGTGGACTTCTTATGTTCTTCCATTTCTAATGGTGACCAAATCTGTCATCACTAATAAAGACCTACAGGAAGAGCACAGCAAGACAAAAGTTAAATATTAGGTCAAAACCATCAGAGTAGGAAACCTGAAACGATATGGAAATAACTGAAAATCAAGTTTTCCATACCCTTATTTTCATTCCAATTTCCACGTGTGTCCTGAATTGCAGAACTATATGGGACAGCCTTGGGGGTACAGGTGGAAATTGCAAACAGTATTTGGAACCGTTTGAGCCTAACGACGTTTAATTGGTGCTGTCTGGCTTGTCTTGGTTCTGTATCTTTCTCTGATATCAGAAATACTGTTAAGACTATGTTGAGACTTCCATCATAAACCTCCATTTCAACGCAGTCAGAAATGTGTTTAAAATAAACTCTTTGAAATTTTCCATCTCCTTTTCTTGCCGAAGGTGTTTTTGGCCTGGCTTGATATATGTTCTTTCATTCTCAGAATAAGCCAATTTAGAGACACGAAACACAGAGACATTTCAGTAAATTCCAGGCTTTCTTTTTCCTCTCTATGCACAAGTATGATGGTCAAAGCAAAAATTCCCTGAACACAGAAAGCATTTGAGTTAAAGCCACTCCTTCATGCAGACAAGAACCTGTGCCTGCAAAGAGTCCCCGGCTCTCCATTTGCATCCAGAGATTCATGTGGAGCTTGAGGCCAGAGCCCTGCCCGGGTGACCAACTCCCACACCTGTGTAGACCCAAGTCAAACAACATCAAAAAATCTGCCTTGTATGTGTGCAGTGTAAAATTCCTGCTGCACTTAAACGTGCAGCAGTTATTAGCAAGGTATAATACCATAAAGAGAATACTGCATAGAACAGGGCATAGCTACATACTTGTGTTGGTCAGCTTTTGTTGTTTGACTGTGTAGATTTCTGCTTATGTAACTAGCAGTAGGCGATGAAGTTGATCTGAAGCTTAATCTCTTGAGGTTGCTGCTTTGATTTTTCTCTTCTCTCCCCACCCCCAAATGTCAAGCCCATTATATTTTTGGGCCATCACTGTATGTTCACTTCCTGCTACCTGCACATTGCTGCTTCCTGGTGCCAGGGAATGTCTGAAACACTCCCAGCCATCGTTCTTGAACATGCTGTATTTTTGCCGTTGAAAGCAGGATTGTTGGCATAGTACTTGTGGCGTTCTTTAAATGTTCTTACAGTACGGGGGAATGGAAATGCCCTGAGTATAATTACCTGCAGATGAAAAGTTTTTAGGACAAACACTTTGTGAATATGCCTAAAACCAGGGTAACAACAGGTAACAAGCACAATGAAAACTTTTCCCTTTAGCAAAATTTGTTTTGAATCTCAGCCTGGAACTAGAAAGAGGAAAGATCCATGAAACGGCAAGCTCCCAAGAATAACTTCCTTAATGACCTCGAAGCTATCTTTCTGCGTAAACCGTTACTAAATTACTCCTTTCTGTTTTTGAGCTCATTTTAATGGCTTAACAGAAACAGGCTCAGAATCAAAATTGCTGCTTTCTTCCTTGATGCCAAAAGGTTGGCTGCTCTTGAATGTGGATCAGATGCTGAAAAACACTGAGCTGCTTCTTTATGATATAGAGCTCCCTGACTGCCTTTTGACTCTACTGAGAGCTGGGGACTCAGCTCAGCAAATTGCATTTCAATACTAATGCATTATTAATTATGCCTGTGATATTAATACAAGAAGATAATGAAATCGGCTAAAAATACCTTAAACTATTCAGACTGTTTATGATAACTCTGATCAGCACTGTGGGCTGCATCCTGTCTAAGAAAATGCAGTGGCAACTCCAGTCTTTGGGATCTATAGGGAAATATTAATGTATTGCCTTACATATCCTTTTTGCACAAGCAAAGATAACTTTTTATCTGGATTATTATCTTCCGTGCTTTTATTTTTTTTTTCATCTGTGCTCAGTTAATGTACTTACTATTAAACCATACCTACTGAAGGGGTAAATTCTGTTCTCGTAGATGCTATTGTACCTCTACAACTGCATTGACATTCACCACAGTAAAATGAAAATAAAATTTGCCCATTTGCTCTTTAAACTTTCTTTCATTGATGCTTTTATAATCTTCTTGTTCTGCTGTAGAGATTACCAGAACTTTATTTCTTCTCCAAGACAACTGACACAATATAATGGTCTTGCAGGTTTTGAATGCTCTGGATGAATTGGGTGATTTGCTACATCTGAAATATTCCCGGTATTCCAAGTCAGCCCATCCTGAACTGTATGAAGAAACAAGGCTTGAACTTGAAGATTAAGTTTTCCACCCATGAAGAGAACATTATGATGCTATGAAAGGGGGAAAACCCAAAAACTAAAAAATATGAATGCATTTCTTCCCTTCTAAGGACAATTTTTGTTTCTCAGTTAATTGAAAGGAGGGAAAGCTCAAGTGTTGCATATTATTGTATCAAATTTCTGTATTCAAGAGACTGAAATATTGATACAGATTTGCCTCTCCAGGAGATCTGTCCTTCTTACGGTGTTTTTGATGCAGAATGAATGCATCCATTGATCAAGTTGCTAACGTCCAGCTTTTGTAATAGTGCCTTTTTATGAAGAGGCTTCAGACTTAATTGTGAGTGAAATAATAAAGTTTAAAAACTGAATGGATTCCAGTGTAGCATGGTAATATAGCTGAGCTTCACCAGTGAGTTTGACTTTTATCTGTCAAAGAGCATAAATCTAGACATCGGACTGCTACAGAGAAATAAGCAGCAAGTAACTTCTTTAACTAAGTTGCCCTACCATGATTTCTTCAAGGACAGAAAATGGTAGAAGGCCGCTAATGCTGAGAACAAGAAAAGTAGCCTGATGAGATCATATATTTCTGACAGCAAATTAAGGGAAAGGGAAAATGTCTCCTTCCCTCCACAGACCCTTTCCCAGCCACTTAAATACATTATAAGCTTCGTAATGTACAAAAAATTGGGCTTAGACATCAACTGAAATGCTTTTCTGCTAACGCATTTGGCCTACAGCCTTTCACATCTTATCACAACGTAAGTTCTTCAGCAGGCTTGCTCCCTCTGCATGTAGCAGTAGTAAATAATCTGAATAACTATTTAACTTTCCCGTAAAAACCTTGATCAAAACAGTCAGATACTCGCAGTTTACAAACTGCAGATGACATTTATGGACTCATGCCTAAGTTTCTTGAACTACTTACGGGCTTAATAAATTCACTAACAAGTACATAGTGCTGAAGCTGTTAGTTATACAGAACGTGAAGTTCAAGATACCATAAGCAGTTCTGTCAACTTGTTAAATTGAAAACTCCACCGTTTCTAAATATGCTAAGGTCATCCATTTAATAACATTTCTTGAAATGTTCTTGTCTGTTTTATGCATGTCAGGGATTGTTTTACTTGTCTAGTTGCAGACTTTGAGTGGTTTATTTTTCAAATAATTTATTATGTCATCTGAGGGGGAAGATGTCATTGTCCCCTTTTCCACTGCCTGAGTGACAAATGCTCAAACATACTTGAAGAAACCGTTACAGCTTCCCTGCAATGCTTGCAGCAGTATTGTTGTCAGGCTTATGTGGGCTGCTGTTTCACAGAGATTGAAGGCTTTTTCCCTTTTTTGCAGCATTGAAAAGCAGTTCTGCAGCTTTAAGAAAGAACTCCAAACCATTCCATGCTATCAAATGTCATTGTAAACACATCAGATGAGAGATATTTAGCTTTCTGTTGCACAGATGTACCACACTTTCATGTTCTCTTGAAAGCTGTGGTGTAAACTTAACCCACAGCTGCAATATTAGATTTAAGAACAGAACAACTAAATTGCAGAGTACCAATTACACTATATTACTCCCTGCTTGTTAAAGTAGCTTTCAGGACATAACAAGCCTGACTGGTTATGAGCACCCATTTTTTGTTGCGTTTTTGTTGTTATTGTTGTGCAAGTTAGTAAAAATCCAGTGGTGCTATAACTTTAAGAATTGATTACAACGCATTCCATAATATCAAATGTTGGCTTTAGGAAACATTTATCAAGGGCCGGGGAGGACTAAATGGTGTCATATGATTCTTCACTTTGGTGGACAGGGTTGAAAAACATTGCAGAGGTTCAAGGGAGCTGTTTGTGGATAAGAGCAAGCTCACTGTATACATATGAAAATATTCAAGCACAGGACAACGAAAAATTAGGAAACAAGAACTTTGAGTAACCTGGCAATTTGTGATGTACACCTTTGTTACATGCAGGATGAATGCACTGACTGTGAAGGAGACAGGTTGAAAAACTTCTGCAATCTGTTCCTTGAGAAAAAGTACAGAATTTTATATATTGTGTTTTGATCTCTATTGCCGAACATCTGCAGCCAGATCCTCAGCTGGCTTCTGACCTTCCATCTTGGGGTATACGGCCATAGTTTATATTTCAGCAAACATCATTACATGTACTGTTGCAGGCATCACGCTATTTCTCTTAAAGAGAGGCCTGAGATTGATTAAGCTGCAGAATGATCACTTTTTGTCCCCCTATAGGGGAATGTTTTCTGTCTAAAGCCGAATTCCTCCTGCCCTCAGAACATTACTCTCTCTCATATTAAGGAGACAAGACAGCTATTTTTCAGAGACTGTCATTTGATTTATTGTGTGCTCTCTTCTGATTTCTTCCACCCCTTACACATTAGAGAAAGTACAGGCTGACTGTCCCTCGGCTTGGGGAACAGTTAGGGAGAAATCCCTGTTTCACTGGTGCAACAATAAAACTCCCAGGAACTTCAGACTTTTAGATTTTCCCCATAAGGCTTAGTTATGGTCTGGAACTGGCTTTTCCATCAGCATAATTTCAGTGGAATTTTTCCAGATCTATATCAATTTTAACAGATTTAGAGTTGATCAGCACTTGGAGACTATTTTAGCTAGCTTAAGAAAAAAAACTGATGGAGTGCTTATTTGGAAATTAGCACATCTAGCATAAGGATCACATATTTCCTAGAATATACTCCATCTTCAGGCATGCATGTTCTTGGGAGATATAGTTGTCTCTAATTGTTTTAGAAGGTTTTGAAGAAGAACTGCCTTCAATAAATTAAAATTGCTCAAGTTGTCATATTTTAATCCAGTGGAAATGTAAGTATGAATACACTAAGTTTTTGTTGGCAAGCTGCAAGTCCAACATCTTGTTATTTTACATAAAAACTTGATAGACCTTCATGGTATTGTAATACTCAAGAGCTGTCTGTTTGGCAGAGTATCTGAATTGTTTGCCCTTTCCTGTACCTTTGTCCCACCTCATCTTTTAGAAAGCCTTTATTTCCTGAGCTTATCAAAATTGTCAAAGCGGTTGCCCCATCCACTTCTCCTGCTTCTTTATATTGTTCTCTCTGTTCTGCTAGTTTCTGTCCTCTGGGTCTAGGGGAAAGCATACTGGCAGCTGCAGAGGACTAAGTGTAACAGTTGGCTTTTTAGGCATTGCCTCACTCTGCCTGCTTTTCGTGGTATCCCCATCAGCTTCTGCAGACTTTAATCTTTCCTTTTCAAATAAAAGCTTCCTACTCGTGGTGCTAAGTTTCTAAGCTGAACCGAATCTGAACTGCCCAAGCAGTTGAACCAAGAATGGGCTTGATCTATTGCTCATGAAAATGCATATCAGGTTCAATTTTGCTTTGAAGTCAATACTCTTGGTTTAAAACTAGTGCAATCATGAGAGTAACCTGTCAGTGTGAGGTGAGCTGCCTGCATTTATTTCAGAGGAATTTGAACGCTGATGTCTCTGGACTATTTCGCAGCCGCCGCTCTTTACAGGGGACCAAGATATGAGAGTGGATTTATTTAAGGTAGGATTTCAATTTTCTTTGTTTTTCTATTTTTTTCCCAAAATGTGTTTGGTTGAAGGTGCATCGCATATTTCCCCGTCCTGCTGAGACAGGGAACAAAATAATGATGTAAGAAAAGCAATCTACACTAAAGGTGTTTATGTACTTTCCAGCCTGCTTAGAAATCCAATAGAGGTTCTCTAATATATGATCTGCGTTTTATTTGTGTGTAAAGTTTAATTGTTCTTCAAATTAAAACACAAATTGGGACCAAATTTTAAAGAAACCACACCACCAGCTGGGAAATGACAGATGTCACTCCAATATTGGCAGCTGAACATTTGAGCCTCCAGATGCCTTCCAAAAAAATTAACTAGGTATTTCCCTCATTCACTCACACATCCAGTGTTGTCTGTACTCGCTCCAGACCAGTCACAAAACAATGAGAATCTCACTCTACCCATTAGTGGGACAGAGCTTCGGACCTGTCAGGATGGTCCCAGAACTGCCACCAAAGTGACCACAAAATAGTAATTCGGCACCATCAGAACAGGAGTCTGGGGTCTGAATCAGAGTGGTTGCTCAGCAGTTGCCTGAGAGGTGAGTGTGTTTCTTTCCACATACGCAGTATGTCACTGACAAGTGACATCAGGGAGCAATGATAAATCCATCTGTATCATATGCTAATCAAATGAATAGGGCAATGTAGAGGCACAGAATCTGGAGAGATATGATGGACCTGGAGACTTAGACTAGATCTAGTTGTGTGCAAAGAATTTTTTTGTGCAAGTGTGACAGGAGTTGTTTAAGCTTTTTAACCAGCTACGTGAAAAACTTGGTCTTTAATATCAAAATAGTTACCGCAAAGCAGGCAAAGGGGTGCTGTACCTCGTGTGTTACTCCAGTTTGTTTATGAACAGAAGGCAGGGTAGATAGTGTGCCATAGCAGATGCCCCTGATACTTGGTACCCTATTACATTTCATAGATCCTTTTTGGAAAGTCACTCCTGCCAGATGCTGTGCCAAGGCCAATAAGTATTCATTGCTATCAACATACCTGAGTTCAACAGCTTGTGCTGCAGGGATAACCAGGTTTGCAGTAATGCTTGAGCTACCATCTATAGAGAGCAGTGCTGATGCTGAAAATTGTTCAGACATCATTCTAGTGACAACCATGCACAACATCACTGATAGAATCATAGAATCATTAAATTGCTGAGATGCCACTGCTGGGAGTGGCTGTGGTATGGTGACAACTGCCTATGCTGCTCTGCCAGGTGTAACTGGTGTGAGTCCAGGACAGGCAGACAGTCTGTCCTTTTCTTTACAGATACAGTAGGACATGGCCTGTAAGTCACTCCAGCAGGTGAGTTTCTTTATGGCAAATTGGCTCAACCAGAACATGTAGCCATGAAAGCAGGTCACTGTAGGAAGCCTAGAAACTCAGTTCTCACAAGTAAGTCAAGTACTTGCAGTAAAAGACAGAGAAATTTTGATATGTGTGACATGGAGCAATGGTGCCAGATGTGATGGGTGAACCTTGATTTTCTATCACCCCCATTGAAATCATCTCAAAGAATTTGCTATGTACATGAGCTGACTCTCGCATCCTGTGAATGGACCAAGGTATGTGTATCCTCCAGTTCTTGGAGCACAGAACTGATCTCGCATACCATGAAGTATGAAGTAGCATCATGTTTGTTGCCCTTATCTTTAGTAGCTGCATTTCCACTTCCAGCACAGCAAGCAGCAGGCCTGTCTTGCCAGTTCAGAGCACAGCATAAAGTGGACAGCAAAGCCTATTGGGCTCCAGTATGACCTGATATGG